GATTAGATGGATAACTAACAAATTTGATGGTTTATATATAAGCATGATTTTGATAGTTCATGTAGTATTTTTTATACTTTTATTTAGTTTAACGTGGAATATGCACTACTATAAAGTTAAACGCACGATGAATAAAGTTCATGTAGAATTTTTAAGTTTTTGTTTAGTTCAGTATGACATATGCACTGTTACAAAATTCGAGAAGGAAAAGGCACGAGTGATATAGTTCAGTTTGAAATAGGCTATTTTCCGAATTTTTCGTATATCATACTAGCTAGTTTTTTTTTTGAGATAAGATGTCATACTCGCTAATGGCACATGCATATTGGTGAAAGTAGGGGTGGGTACAAGGCAAGTACTTGCCAAATTTTGGTTACTTACTACTTTTTTTTGAATCACACTAACTACTTACTACTTCTCTTACCTTTTTCGAATAACTCATTCTACTACTTGAATTGTTTGAGACAAGTTTTTGTTCTATCAAGTACTTGCAAAAAAAAATGATACTCACTAAAATTACTTGACTTGATTTGTCCTCTTAATTACATACAAAAAACATATATTCTAAATTTCAACATTCAGAAATCATGTGAATTCTCAAAAAAAAAGGTAGACAAAAATGAAACTACATGTTCAAAATATTGAAAAACCATATGAAACTTATTGTTCCTTCATTTTATTTCGATGCTCCAAAAAAGATTTTTGTCTACTTTTCCGTATTATTGTAATACAAGAAAAAGACAAGACAAGTTTTAATTATTTTGCAAATAACAAGTATTAAAAAGTAATGGGTATTAAGTATTTTATAAAACGAGTATCAAAGAGCAAGTAACGAGGCGACAAATAGCAAGTAACTAGGAAAGTACCAAAAATGAAACAGTATATGATACTTGTCTTGTCTTTGCAAGTAGTGAAATTTGTTGACTTATTATTTATCTTACCAACACCAAGTACTTGGTTTTTCAAAGGAAATACAAGTCAAGTCACGAGCATAAAGTGAGTATCGAGTAATGATGCCTTCCCTAGGTGAGAGATCATAAAGATGGATGAAGATCTGCGACGATTGAGCGGTGGAATGTGACGGTTAAAATAGACAAATCTTGAACGTGTCATAGAGAAAGGAGTTAGTTCTCAAAAGACAGCTCCTACTGTTAGACGATGGAGGAAAAGGAAAATCAAAGGGTGAAGAAACTATGTGACTAAGGCAGATTTGAATATGAGGATAATACGACACAAACAAGCCAACACTAGAAGTTAAGAGAGAAATGAGCTCCGACCAAGGTGGCTCGGAAGCTATTTTCTGTTTTTTGTGGCTCGGAAGTTGAGATCGGGGGAGCACACTTCGACACCATTTCGAACATCTAGAGGAGAAGAGTAGACGTCTTGGCAGGAGGAGACTGAAAGGTTCTCGCCGGTGCTGAAGCCAACTGGCACAAGGAAATAAAAAGGGTTTTCGGGGTGACCTTCGCTGGACATGGACCGGATGTGTATTGTTTTTACATGTTTTTAATACTATTTTTCCATTTATATTCCTCATCACTTTGCATTATCTAGGATCGTAAATATGCATGTTGGTATATTTTGCACTATCCCTCATTTTAGAGTTTTGGGATGTATATGTTGCATTTGTACAGTTTTGGAGTCTTGTCAGGTAAGTTTGGAGCCACGAGGAAGATGGTGTAAGGAGTAAAGGGTAGAAAAAGCATAAATGATCCAAGGAGACAGTGGTGGTGGTCCCACATCAATGAATAAAGTTTCACATGATAAGTTAGAATAATAATTTAGCAGAATATACAACCAGGATTTGTGAACACATCTTATCTTTTTTTTCTATTTTCAATATTTGTTCTCATACTGGGCCAAAGCCCAGTTTTATGAGCTCTATTAGATGTGAACATGGATCTGCCACTGCAAGGAGATGAACAATGAAGAAAGTCGTAGGGGAAAATATTACAGTTCAAGTCCACCGATACAGAAGAAAGAGAGCTGGTATCAGGCTTACAAACCGCTCAGTTTAACCACTAGTCGTCATAGCAAGAATATCCAATGTAGGTAACCACTACTATGTACCCATTCATAAGATGAAAGACAGCCAACATATGAAGTTTCATACCGGGATCAAAACCAGATCGCTGCAGAAGATGGTAGCCCAACTCAGTTTTTCCTGGATTAGCAGGCTTGGTAAATTCGTTCAATAATGCTTATTAGCTCCATAACTAGCAAACTAAAGTTTAGCTAAATAAGTGATTAGTGAATTGATCAGAGTTGTAACAGTGGGTCGATATTGCTTAATGATTCATTTGTTAAGTTTGTCTTTAATGATTGGTCTTGCATCTTAAGATTGTTCCGAAGTTTGAGCCCAAAAAAAAACTTTTTTGATGAGCTTCTAATTAGGACCTGTTCTAGCTGTAACTAACATTAAACCATCATTGAGACCCCTGAAAACTAGTTATGCTATTTTGGCTTGAACAAAGATTTCGTAGGTAAATAATCCATTAAAGTTGCTTAGAATTAGTATTTACCTCAAACTGCATTGAATTTCCATAATACTTGTATATAAAATATTATTCATATACCAAAACCACAAATAATCAGGACCAGACATAAACTCCAATCTATAGATTATATAGATATTATCTTACACTGATTTATTATTATATTATAATTATTAAAGTGATTATATCGACGATATATATAAATAAATTATAATATCTGTGATTCGAATTCCAAAATTTCTGATGTAAAAGAAGTAATAAATCATTAGTGAAATTATTGAACTAGTGGAATTTGCATACATTCTTAGACCATGATTAACTTCAGTCTCTTAATTGGGGTTCTTAAATTCGCCTAAAAGACAATTCTTAGTTTTTTTAGATTTTAACTAAGAAAAACTAAAAACCGTCTCTTTGAATAAGAGATATAAGAGTCATATTTTAATCAAAAAATGCAACAAAAAAATGTCAAATCATAGGTTAAGAACTCCAGCTAAAAAATTGGGGTTAATGATGCTGTTATGCTCTCACTGGGAGATCAAAGATGTCTAGGATCTCTCATTCTTATACTTAGAAACAAACCTATCTCCTTTACGTATATACTAGGTGATTTTCCCGTGCTCATGCACGGGTATGAATATTCATAAAACTAAAGTTTTAGAAAAATTAATTGCTATTTAGTTTTAGTTTTAATTTTGAATAAATTTATATTAATAAATATTATATTATTCTAATTATACATATGACTTTAGATATATCATGTTGGTTTAATTAATTTTTTGGATCAATAGTCGGTTTGGTTATCAATTTGGTATATGGGATAATATCTATTTTTCGAATTCAGCTATACTATTTTTTATTCTAAATATAATAAAACTTTGATTAATTTTCATATTTTCATTTCGGTTGGTTATTGTCTTAGATATGTAAATATATTATAGTTAAATTATGTATAACTTAATATATATTGTGCTTAAAATGAAATAAATAATAAACTGAAGTGTTTGATTCAAAATTACATAAAGGAATATAATGATAATATTTTGAAGTCTCATACATATATATAAATTCTACAAAATAATTAAATTGTAATTGGTTAATATTTTATTTTTCTTTTTAATATGCTTTGAGTCAACCTCTAATTTATATGTATAAAATTAAATAGATTATTATTATTATTATTATTATTTAAAATTATATGTTCTTATTGTAGTTAGATGTTTAATTTTGGATATAAATTAGATTAGTCGAGGCATTCATTTTGTGAGCATATTGAGTTAAATATATTTTTAAATTAAAATTGAAGTATAATTACTTTTTATTTGAGTTAAGTCAAATCAAATTATTTTATTTATCGCTTAAATATACATGTATTTTCATAATATTTATTTACTCTTTATTTTAGTTAGTTTAAATCAAATTATTTTTATTTATCGCTTAAATATACATGTATTTTTATAATATTTATCAAATTATATGTTGATTTCTTAAAAATATTAGAAAATAGTGTAACTGATAAATTTTTTGAATGGTCATGAACATATATATTTTTCTTATTTTGAAAATAAATTTTATGTTATTTAAATATATATATTAATGGGGGTATTACTATTTTGTCAACTTTCCTTTTTAATAAAGTCATATTATATAGTTTTAAAATTTTAGAAATATTTCTTTTTATTATATATGTTATTTGGAAAAAAGTAAAAAGGAAACAAAATAAAAAAATTAATAATAATCTTAAAATCTAATAATTCATTAAGGGTATCTATGTAATCAACCATCGCGAGAGTTAACGTGAACGCGACATGTAGAAAACTGACTTCTCAAATAATATTTATAGAGATAATGTAGCGTATACATCTATAAAACTTTTACTTAAAGGCTAAATGGAAATATAGAAAAAAACTATTGGATTTTACAGTTTACATTTTTCATTTTTAATTTTTCATTTTTGGCATACACCCAGCCACGATTAGCCTTGCAAAGTTGACCATATACAATAATGTAGCAGAAGAAAAAAAAAACGAGAAAGAAATAAAAAACTACTTTTTCAATTAGGTCAACTTCATATATATGTTTTTAAGAAACAAGAAAATAAATTAGTACGATGATTGTATGAGAAGTACAAAAGGAAATTATGTGGAATTGCAACTTTCTGAAGATATCTCTTAACTTAATATGTCGTCGCCAGTAAATGGCAGATGATAAACGCATTATCTTCACACATGATCTCTTATCCTACATACACTCTAGCTCATATGCTCTCATATCAACCAACCATCGTTTCCCTTATCCAATACGAAATCTTGTGTGTTCAGAATAGTTTCACAAGATCATTAAATCCAATTAATATTCTAAGCTTGTTTTAAGAAAAAAAAAAGCACGGCTTGGTCTCATATTCAAAATCAGTTATCAATTTATAATTGATCAGAATTCTGGTAACAGGTATTAAGATAATAAAAAGATAAAGAGAAGTAATCTTCCTATGTGTTCAGAATAAAAGAGAAATACTCTTCTTGATTATATTATTTCTCAAATCACGTAACACAATATACACAGATGTAAATAAGCAAGATCACCCACATTATCGAGTGATTAATGCTCCATCTGGGAAAAACACAACATATAACCCCTAAACCAAAATCTCCCAAAACATCTATTAATTATTATACTGAACTCTCGCACACTCTTATTATAAAATGTTTTGACTTCTCATATTAGACCAACTGCAAAAACTACACTAATAACTCCAAATCATTATTTTGCGTACTATAGTATATATATAATTATGAAACAAACCTCTTTTCTGTAACCAGAACAAATCGTGTAATGATATGATCAGCCATGAACCATTCCATGCGACAGAGCCATGAGTAAAATAGCAGCTTCCTTCTCATCTTGTGGGAAAACTTGTTGATAAGCTGAGCTTTTGCTCAACATTATCGTCAAGTCATCGAAGCACAGCTTGTTTGACGAGATTGAAGAATCAGAAGAAGTTGTTGCTTTGCTGATTTCTGAATCGCCGGCAACCGTGGCTGCGTCCTCCTGTTCTTGTTCTTTGATCTTGCACTTTTTTGTCTTGGCCACTACCGGAGAGGACAGAGTGTATTTGTCTCCTCCATTACATCGCTTTTTCTTGCTTTGCAACTTCTTTTTCGCAGGTAACTGCTTCAGCTGCGCCGCCGCCACCTCTTGGTCACCCGCAGCGACGGCTGCAGCCATTGCGGCCTTCCTCGCCTTTCTTTGTCTTATGCCACATGCGTTACAAAGAGACTGTAATAAAAGAAATTTGAGAATTAAAGAAAAATGTGAAAAATTAATGTGCGTCAAAATGATTCACAGAATATTGGAATCGTATGTCATTAAGATGCTTGGACTTGAATGTATCAAATATATATGCGTTCTAGATTTACAAACTGAATTAAGATATAGTATGTAGAAAGAGATAATTTCAAGAAAATAATTTACCTTGGGACCTCGAGGCCCACTTCGCCAAAGAGGAGTCTTAGTGGTGTTACAATCAGAACAAACCCTAATCACGCCATTGTTATTGCCATAACCATTATCCTTGATTGTATTATTGTATTGATTTTCCGTGATAACGGCCGTGGTCGCCTTGGTCGACACTTTCTTGCGATCTTCACTGTGATCTTCTTCAAAACGAGTCTTCTGATTTAAAGGGTAGTGGTCTTCATTATGATTATTATTATTATTAGCCTGATCAGTGTGCTGTTTACTGTTCGTGATTGTTTTCTTAATTAACCGCATCTTTGGGGACATCATCCACTTGTCGGAGTCTGAATTGGGTTTTGTCGGGTTTTGATGAAGAAAATCAGTTTGGTCGTCGTGATGATCTTTTTTCCTAATCGTTAGTTTCAGTCTTGTCTCCTTATTTGGCACCATATGATCGTGTGATGATGATGATGATCCACCGTTAAACATGATGGCCTGATATATAGCAAAATCGAGGTTTAACTAACAAAGAAAATAAGGATTTAGATGGTTTTTCTTAAGATTCCCCGGCCGGATTATTTAAATTTTTTATTATGTATTTTTTCTCATCACAAATTTCAACAACAAGACAAAAAAGGAAAGATCACTCAAAATAACATATGTACACCCAATTAAGGTTGATATATGGTTATAAAACCGGTAAACCGGTGTGTGTGTGTGTGTGTGTGTGTACCTTCAGGGGTTGAGGTAGATGGAGATGTTCGGTGTTGTTGTAGGTAACATGTTGATCGTCTTGAGAGTTGATCAAGAAAGGGAGGTAAGAGGAGAGAGAAGAAATGGACGTCGAAGAAGATGAAGAATTAGAAGGAACTTGATGATTATGAAGAAGAGACGAAGCCGATGCAAGAGGATAGAAAAAGGGCTCTTCATGATGGTTTTGATCTTCGTTTAGATCTATAGAGTAATGGAAATTCGAACCCATTGATGAGAAAGAGAGATGAAAATACAGATCAAGAGAGAGAGAGAACTTAGATGATAGGTTAATCTTAGAAGAGAGTTTGAAAGAGATCATAAACGGCAGAAAGAGTCCAGGCTATACTATGATCCCTTTTAAAGGCCATAAGATGAGACACGAGCCAAACACACATGGTTTCTACTATAGATATATACAAGTTTTAGTTTATGTGAGTCTCGAGTTATGTTCAACTTGTACAGTGAATTTTCGAAGACATGAATAAAATTATAAAGTACTGTTTTAAACTCTTACTTCCTTACCAGTACGATCGTAAACCCACAATAAATTTCTCAGTTTTTGTGCACATATTTTTATTAACTATATCTAAATATTACTACAAAGAAAATATTTAATAATAAAACTGAGAAATTTATTTATAAGAAAATAATATTTCGCATTAACAAAATTATGTTTCGATTATATGTAAACAATAATATGTAAACTAGACGATCCAATGATCGTATAAACCTAATCCAAAACGAAAATATGTTTTTTTTTTGTTAGAGCACACACTTTATAAAAGCTAGTATTTTGAGCTGGTTAATATAGTGATATCGTTACTAAAATGTCGATAAAGTAGAAATACATTTATATATGTATAATTAATAATTTAGAGGTTCACGTGAGTCCATGGCGCCCATACGAAACCAAACACATGAGACAAACTGTTTGTATGTGGAATGGTACTGGGCGACCCCATTCAGAACGAACCCTATCTGTAATTTATTTACCCCACAGTCCCCACTAGAGAGACAGAACTTTTTTAAAACAATTTTTATATCATATTTGGAGGGCGTGAGCCACATAGATCCTGGTAATAATTGAAACAAATAAGATCCTTTTACTTGTAGTCTTTTCAAATCTAGGGTTTTCCTAGATCTCAAGGTTCTATTACAGGAAAAAAAAAGAAGTCAAAACGATTATCATGTTCTTTTCATGGCCGTTAAACTAAAAGACATGTTATATCAGAAAGCACAAAAAGGTTAGAATATATTTCAACTTAGTAATATTTTTATATTATATGACTGTATCAAATACCAGCATCCGTAAAAATGAGATTTATATGAATTTTGTAAAAGTAAAAATTAAGAAAAAAATTTCAACGTTTTCATATTTAACCTAAAGAACCAACTAGCGTTCATAGATTTGGCTAGTATTTTCCTATTGCTATGACAGAGCGAATTTTTTTTTTCTAATCTTCATAAAAGAAAACCAGTGATAGACCCAGAGCAGTGGTACAAGTTAGTCCCTAAGATTAAAGATTGTGTTGTAGCGGTCATCAATCCTAACATAACTTGCTAATTATCCAATAATGTTACATTGCTTACATTGTTTTATCTACTATAATAATAATAATAATAATCAAAGTTGACTCAGTGAACAAAACAAATTCAAGATCTCTTGAAACCCTATTATACTGAATGTAGCTCGTGATCACTTTCACTGCATGTGATTCATCAATAATAATACCTCCCAGAGGAGAGAGAAACATGATTTGAGAGATGGGAAGTGAGGCAGAGGGAAAGAAGAGATAGGTTTAGGATGGTAAAGGAAGAAAAGATCCCCACCTTAGTATTGCCAAAATTATTCAGTTCCTTCTCATCAGATTTTACAGATCATTGGGGACCCCCACGCACAGAAAGAGACAAATCCATTTTGTTTCAAAATTTAAAATCATCAGCCCATCAATTTATGTATGGACATATGACCTCCCAGCTAAATGATCAAAGAGAGAAACAAAGGATCTACTACTTAGTTTTTTTTATGGAATGTGGATATGATCTATTCAGTCTCTCTTTAATTTTAGTTATAAATTCAATAGATCTGAAGTCATATGCAGTGTATCTATTACTTAGATGTCCTATATAGAAAAGATATCTTCAATAGTATTGATACAAGATAAAGTGGAATTTTATGTATAAGGAGACTTGATTTATGTTTTCACCGTTTACGAAAATTACCATTGTCCACTTTCAAATTTTAAACGATCTGATAAAAGTCTGAACTAAATGATATAAAAGCTCCGATCATCTATTGGCTAGAGAAGAAGACTTTAAGATTATGATAAAGAACATCGACGCTTTGTTTTAAACAAGAAGCTGGTTTGTGATCAAATCAGTATATGTTTTCATTAGTCTTTGACCTCGCTTACAAAACTCCAAAATAAACTAATAAAAATCATGTGGGTGTGAAAACAAATCTCATAGATCTCCTCCATATTGGCATGGATAAAAATATCTAAGCAAATGCGATAAAAATGTAAGGAAGATGTTGAAATCTCACCTTTAAAATCAGATAGAATTTTGAATAATAAAATATTGATTAATATATTCATTCCGTTAGGTTCGAGTTAAAAAAAAACATGACCGTTTATATAATATCGTTGTTTAAACACAACTAGATTTTGAACCCGCACATCCGTGCGGGTATTTTTTCATTTTATAAAAATATAATAAAACCTTTCAAATATATATGATTTATATTCTATTGTTATATATTGTATAATTTCATAATCTTATAGTTTTAATTATTTTAATATAATATATTGTTGTAAGTTTTAAAATAAAAAAATATTCATATACAATTTTTTATATAATGTATTTGTTGTGAGTTACAAAAATATATGTTAACATTTTTGTATAAAAATATTATATGATTTAAAAACTTTAATATGTTTTAAAAGTGAGTGATATTTATTTATTTATTTGAACAAAAAAAATTTTGTAAGATAAAATATTTTCCTTTACCAATTTAATATATTTTATATTCATTTCACATAGCATTTTATTTCAATATAATATAGAATATAACTAAGTTATAAAATATAACATTTTTTATTTTTAATTAACATTAATATAGATATTTATATATATATTAATCATGAAATTAAATAATGCATATTTTATAAAAATATTTAAACTTCTTAGTAAGATCTTGTTAGATATTCTCTCAACAAATTTATTACTAATATTTTATTATTATTAAATTATTCCTCCAATTATATATATTTGATTGATTTATATAAATGCTTAAATATGTCATATTAATGAGATGGTCCAACATGACTTTTTTATAGTAGATATAAATGGTACTTCTCTTTTAATAGAGAAGATGATCCAAAATTTGATCCGATCTAAACTTGTTCCAATTAGTCTGATCCATAATCGTGTGGCTTAAATTCGTCATGTCGATCCAAGTATCTTATAAGGTTTCGACCAAAAAATGTTAGAATAGTTATCATCTGTAATAATACACGTACTATCATTAGATCACACAATGAAGTGAGGTACGACCTAAAAGAATATATTGAATATAACTAAGTACTTGTTATCAGCTGATTTTAAATTGAAATTTTATAGTTATATTTTCAGTACTGGAGAGTTTTCGTTACCTCCAACTTGCAGTACTCGGATAATTACATACCAGCACTCGGTTACCAAAAAGATCCTGTTTTTTTCTTTTAGTAGATTACTTTTTTTTTTTTTTTTGAAACACAGTAGATTACTATTGGGTTGAGAAATGGTAAACTGTGTTGACAAAAAATAAATACTTTTTTGAAAAGAAAAAATATATACTTTTCAGTCTTCTGGTAGCGTTTATGCCGACTTTTCATTTCATGCCAAATTGGGTCAGACCTTTTCCTAGTAAAAATTATGTTACTTCATAATGAATGACCATATAATGGTCACACGATTTTCTCTTTTTAAAATTTTGATCTCACAAAAGCAATAAGTATGCTCTTATTGTCCGTAAATGAATTGACAAGCAAAATATACAGATTCTTCTGATTAATGTGAATTCAACTTATTTGCATTTGAAGTTTCTATTTCTGTCAACAACATATATTATACATGTTTAAATATAAAAATGTCAAAATAAATGAAGAACTACGATGCAACACAGAACATGATAAAGTGAAACATTCGCCACAAATCTCCAAAATTTTTGAAGAAAATTACATAAATATATAGGCTCAAAAAAAAATTTAGACCCCCAAAATTTCTTTTTCATAGAAATAGCTACATACTTTCAAAATCTCCCCTGAACACATATCATTGTGAACAGGTGATAAAACATGAAATTCCAAGGACTCCAAATGCCAATCATAAGACTACGCCCAAGAACAGGATCACTACACGTTTTGAATATGTGAAAAAAATCTTCTATATCGCGTGAGATTTGAACGAGAAGTGATCGATGTTGTATTACAATTTAGGTTAATCAAAAAAACAATTATGTGTTCTTTACTTACAAACATACCAATGTAGGGTTCGAAATTCACCTATACGGTGAATCTTGTAAAAGATAACACAACATGGAAATAGTATCATATACCAGGCCGAGGTTGCAAGTGAAATCTTTCTTCTACATTTTAGACATTTATAAAATCAAAAGTAACTGAAACTGTTTTTTGTTTTTGGTTTTTATGATCATCAAAAGGTTTCATATGTCAAATACATTTTATCACGGAAAAATGAAAACGTTGATGTGTTTTGTTTTTAGTAAAATTTTAATGATATAAAAAATTAACAAATAGTTAAGTAACAAGAACCAATTTTTGACTCTCTACAAATATGGAAAAAAAAAAGAAAGGATTTTAACCAAGAAAAAATAATTAAACTGAGAAGTTAAAGAGATATAGGGAGAGAGATAAGGAAAGAGGGTGTGTTTTTAGTTAAATAGTGAATTTGTATTTTTTTTATGGCTATACGAACAAATTTCTCAAAAGAAAAAAACAACTTATTGTTTTAACACTCACAAAATCCCACTTTTATAATAGTATCAAAAACAAACCGAAGGTAGTTTCTCTCTCATCTGTAATATCATATTGTTTGACTAGATCTCTTCTCTTCTGGACTGGGTTCTCGAAAAGCGAACTAATCAGAGCCGTTGGATGACAAAGGGATATACAGAAACTTGTCAAAAAGAAAGTGATATACGGAGATCGATGTGAGAAGAAATAGAGCCACAGAGCAAAACCAGAAATCTATAGACCGAAACAGGTATCTACGTAAGCTTTGCTTCTATTAGCTCTTAAGGGTTTTGTTCTTTAATATACTAAAAAAACATGTATGATCA